CTCTACTATTCTATGGTTCACAAAACCTAAGTATCTGTCCTAGAAAAGTTTTATTGTCCTGTAATGCTTCACGCGTGAAACATGTTTTGGTATGATCCGATTTCATTGAATATACTTCCAAAAAAAAAAAAAACATACACGCACACACGTATTTCATAGAATATACCTTGAAACCAAACCATTCCTGTCATGTAAATCATTTTTTCTTTATTTTACTTTAGGAAAACTTGCATTTTCTCTACCTACTAGTAGTTTGGAATGGTGCATACCTCAAAGGTATTTACACCTCATGTGATCTGATAAGAATAGGGTTAAAAAATTATATGTTGAAATAATTAATACACAAAATTTCAATCATTCATTTGATTGAATTTTAGAGATAAATATGATAACCAAAGTGCTTTATTTAATTCTTAAAAGTTTATATAAGTTAATTCTTACCTAATTTTAAAAATAAAAAGTCAATATCTTCTAAATTACGTTCCGTGTAAGTTGTGTAAAGCTAATCAAAGTTCTTCAAAACTGGAGCTATATGATGATGGAAATATTGATCATGAAACAGTTGAAAGATTCCGTGTTTCTACCTGTTCTAATTGTCACATGTATGACCTAAAAAAACTCGTCTTAAACAAAGTTGACGGTGCAAGGTCATCCAGACCGACACTGTTTTCTACTCTTGATTCCAAATAAGTGTGAACTCTAGCTTCCAAATAGATGTGAAAAGGATTATATGTGTCAAAGTGGGGTATTGTGGCCATCCCTTTCGTGAAACACATGTTTTAGTAGAATACAACAATACGATGTGAAAGTGTTATGCAAGATGTCTTTTTATGGAAGAAGCATCTAAAATATCATATTTTAATTAATATTTTAAAAATTAATTATTAAATTAAAAGTTATATTTATATAAATTAGGTATGTTAATTTTTATATTGATATAGTAAATTTAATAATTTTATTGATTATATAAACTTAAATATCATTAAACATATGCCACTAAATAAATTCTTTGATCAAAGAATTATAAATATTAAATTAATTTAAAAATTGATATGTATAATTTATAATAGTAGAATATTTAATTAAATAATTAATTTTAAAAAATATTAATTAC